ATATTTTTTACTTTATTAATTTTCGTCTTTTCTAGTTTTAATAATATTTCGCCGTCACTACTGCTACTGGATGTGTCCAGTAATTCGTTTAATACGATAAATATTTTTTCTGCCATTGTAACCTCTTTGCACTGAAATGCACCGTCAAAAGCCCTCAGTGCATTCGAGTGCGTCCTCTGACAGAGAAACTAGCTCAATCGAACATATAGCGTTTTCGGCCCGATCGGGTTTGCACCAACCTGGGTTGGATTAATCTTTCTTATTGGTTGATGTCACACGCTCTACCAATAGGAGAGCGCAAAACGCCATTAATCCAACCCAGGTTGGTGCAAACCCGGTCAGGCCGAAAACGCTAATAAAGAGTTCACTACACTGTGGCAGAGTTATCCAATCGAACCCATTTGTATTGATACTAATCTAGTACAGTTATGAATCGAACACAAGTGGCAGATGCACCAATAGAGGATAACCTCAATCGAATACGCTAAAACTGAGAGAAGGCGCACTCAGTGCACACTAGTGCGCACTAGTGCATCCAATCGAATTCGCCATAAGTTTCGAGCAATGCTCGATTTTATTTGTTCTGAAGATCATCCAATTGGAGAAGTTACACATTACTTTTGGCAACGAAAATACCAAGGTAGAGGTATACAGCATTTTCATCTGTTAATTTGGATTAAAAATGCGCCAATTATTGGTGAATCTTCTGTTGAAGAAATTTCTAAGTTTATTTTACAATATATAAGTTGTAAAATGCCGGATAAAAATATTTCTCCATTATTATATAAGCGAGTTAATACGTATCAACAACACAAACATAACGATTATTGTCTTCGTTCTAAGAAAAGAGGGCGAAAAATTGGTCGTGTGTGTCGTTTTGGTTTTCCACGTCCTGTTACAGAAACGTTGATTGTCAGAGATGTTGTAAGTTCGATAGTAGGAAGAAAACAATTAAAACATAGAAGTAGACTTTATGACCTTCCCCGAACAGATATTGAAGTTAATATAAACGATTATAATCCTATTCTTCTTACTGTATGGGAAGGAAATATGGATATACAATTTCTTGCTGAAAAATCTACGATTCTTACTGGATATGTTACTAAATATATTAATAAAGAAGGGAAAAGTGAATTATCCGATTCTAATCTTGAGAGTAAAAATCAGAAAAACAGAAAAGTGGCGAGCTATCTTTGGAATATTGGTTTACGATTCATGAATAATAGGGAATCTGGAGCTCTTGAAGCTGCTGATACATTGCTAGGTATTCCTTTATATGGGACTGATAAAAATACGAGTATTAAATGGTTAGATGTTAATCAAATACGATACAGAAAAGTTAAAAGTTGTAAAGAAGTTGAAGCTCTTGACGCAGATTCTACAGATATATTTTGTCTATCTATAATAGACAATCATTATCCATATAGACCGAAAGAATTTGAATCGACGTCTTTATACGAATTTGTAAAATGGTATGATATTACGAAAATCAAACCACGAAGTAAAAATATGACGTATTATAAGATGAACAATGGTTATTATCTTAAACGGCGACAGCGTGGATATCTTATTAATCATTATAAATATAGTGTTAATACGCAGCCGGAAAAGTATTTTTTTTCATTACTTCTTATGTTTAAACCATGGCGGAAAATAGAAGAGCTTAAAAATGGATGTGATACATATGCAGAATCATTTCACAAGATAGAATTATATCTTGTTCAAGCATTGCAATATCATGAAAGAATGGAGGAATTGCAAAAAGCATTAGAAACAGCAAATCAATTAGTTCAACAACAATTAGACGAGAAACAGCATGAATCACAAGATGATCCTGATAATCCGATAGGTGTTCAAAATATTCAGGCTGGTGAAGCAATACAAGATTTTAAAGATCTTGGTAATAAATGTAACGAAGAAATTGATATATCTGAAATGATGTTAAAATTAAATGGAGATCAAAAAAGAGTATTCGATAACGTTACTAATACCGTTATGTTAGATAAAAAATTATTACGATTGTACGTTAGTGGAGAAGGAGGTACCGGAAAAAGTTTCTTGATTAAAACTATTAAATGTTGGATAAAACAAAATCTCAGCAAAGATACTGCTATAGCGGCACCCACTGGTATAGCGGCGTTTAACATTGATGGTTTGAGAGCACATAGATTGTTTCAATTACCAGTTGAACATGGTAATATTCCTAAGTACAAACCATTAGCTGATCACGTTTTAAAAATTTTACGAGTAGATCTCAAAGATGTCCTTTTTATAATTGATGAAGTATCAATGATATCTAATTTAACTTTATTGTATACACATCTACGATTATCTGAAATATTCAATACTATCGACTGTGATGATGGTTGGTTTGGTCAAAAACATATTCTTTTATTTGGAGACTTGCTTCAATTACCTCCTGTACATGAAGATCCTGCCTTTGTACGTTTATCGAATAAATAAATTCAAAAATTTCTTGGTTTCTTACATACTGTTATGAACCAATGGTTCCAAATCGGACCGGAAAAAACATTTTTACATTTTTCATTATAGTTCAACACAGGTGAGAGATACAAAATGGTCTAAAGCAAAACTGAAGGGAATTAAATAAAACAATATAATTAAAAAGGCATATAACCACGAATGCCTGATATAGATGGCTTAAGAATATTATATTTGATATAGTACAATAAATAAACGATATTAGTAATAGAAGGGCATCGAACCAGTAAATATATATGTATAATAAGAAATTCAAATATAATAATCATAATTAAAAATCGTACATACGTTTCGACTGCGTTTGAGTCATTTTCAATGTATAACAATCGTTCACAAAATACACGGATTAATAAAAAACAATAAGCAACATAATTATAAGATTGTAACTATAACATACTAGATATAACCTATTAAACGCTTTTTATAAACTAATTGACCATTAAAGGTGCATACATTAGTTATAACAACATCGCTGACTAGTATAAAAATCTCAGGATTCAAGGCCGCTATTAATATAGAAGTGTAACCATGCAAATTAGAATCAAATCCATGTCGCAACATCTCCTTGTCTTTAGATATCCAATAGTATCTTATAAATTGAAAGCAATGAATCCGGTAAAACGTGAATGTACAGTGGTCACTACTTAATATAATTTACATGTTAAACAATGTGTCGAATAAAATACTTTGCATTTGTGTGTGCAACCACTCGAGATCGTGTCAAGTACTATACTCATAAAAAGGTAAGCCTCGAACATCTCGGGGCCGTTCCGAAAAGTGAAGTGAGAGTGCGCTTACTGTGAGAGTCTCCATCTAATCTCTAAACCACATTGTACAGTACGTAGACTTGTAAGTGAACGAATAAAAGCTCTTGTATAACACGAACGCTGGCCTATAATTATTGGAGGACATCGAGCCTTCATAAACCGACACCGCACGTCCAAACCGTGGTTCTGCAACGCCCTGAGCGGCACGTAGTGTCTTGAAGATACTGCAGGTAACTGGCTGACCCGTAAATTCTACAAACGGTGCCCGGAGCGGCACCATTGCACCCGGAGCGGTACAACAATACTGTTAATGGACTACCTTATTTGACTATGACGAATTGACGATTAATATGCGCCAGCAAGGAAAATTTTATCGTGAATTACTCTCGAGAATTCGTATTGGTTTAGTAACAAAATCTGATTCTGACATTCTCAAAAAAAGAAAAATATCCTTAAAAAGTGAGTCTCAAGAAGCAAGATTAAATGAAATATGTAATTTTATAGATAATTTACCTTTTGATACTGTTTGTTTACTGCCTACTTGTAATATGTGTGATGTTCTCAATACTGCAATGTTAAATCGTATTTCTTCAAAAGAAATATTATTAATTGCTGAAGATGAGATTTTTTGAATGTATTCCATATATCAAAAAAAAAGTATCAAAAGTATTAACGGATAATAATGATAATAATAGTAGAACAGCTGGACTTTCAAAACAAATATCAGTTAAAATTGGAGCAAAAGTTATAATAAGACGCAATATTGATGCCAGTTTGGGTCTTGTTAATGGCACAATTGCTACAGTTATTTTAATTGTGCAGAATACTAATTATGTAGAAAAAATTAAACTTCTTTTATCATCTGATTTAGAATATTTTATTGAAAGAGTAAAAGTCAAGTTTCAAGTGATGGATAAAGCATTTGTTATTAGAAAACAATTTCCTTTATCTTTGAGTTATGCTATTACCGTTCATAAAAGTCAAGGATTAACCATGAAGAACGTTGTTATGGATAGAGGTAATTCTGTATTTAGTTGCGGTCAAATTTATGTTGTATTATCTCGAGTAACATCTTTACATGGGTTGTATTTGATTAATTATGTTCCTTCATCTATAATAGCTAGTGAAGAAGCAATTATTGAATATAATCGGCTAAAACGACTACATAAACCACAAGCACAAATTACTGCTATTTCAAAAGAGGGTTATCGTAAAATTAAAAATGTGCTATGGGCATTACCAAACATAATAACTTCCGTCCAACAGTCAGATCAAAAAGTTCGACAAAGTACTACATCTTGGGTTATACGTGGTTTTCTAAATACTGACAAAGTTTCATGCTATTCCAATGCTACATTATAATGTTTATTTCATTTAAGTATTATTAGAAAACAATTATTTAATTCTGATAAACTAAATGTTTTAAATATATTAGCGCATTGATATG